TTTGACCCCAGTACTCTTTCCTGCCATGGCAGGGGGTCGGACTAGATGATCTTCTCAGGTCCCTTCTGACCCTAGAAACTATGAAACTATAAGAGAATCATTTAAAACTCTTTATTTTATTTGATTATTCTGGTGAGACAGATTTTTAGACATGGTACATTTCTAATATAAAATATAAATACTGTATATGTAAATCCAAGCGTAATTTTGTTTGGTTCAGTGAGCTCACAGTAATCTGAATTTCACTTTAAACCATTTCAGGGCTTCCCAGAAATCATCCTGAGAGTTACCACTCCTATATGTGGAATAATTTCTTTAAGCATATTGATATAGACCCTAATAACGCTCATATCCTGGATGGGAATGCTCTGGACTTGCAAGCAGAGTGTGATGCATTTGAAAAGAAAATTGAAGAGGCTGGGGGAATCGAACTGTTTGTTGGAGGTATGGGGAAATGCTCTAGCAGTGATCAGTTGTGGCTAATAAGTGGACTGAATCCTTCATTGGGACTTTCAGAATTTTTATCTAAGAACTTTTACTTTGAAGCACAGATTTAAGAGTCTTTGATTACTGATATCAAGAATCAGTTTGAATGTGAAGATGCAGAGAGTCCAATTTGTGGTAACTAACAAGTCTAAATAAACTTTAGTTCTAACTGTTGGGTGGGGGTGGGAGGGAATAAGATATGATTATGAAGAATGGTGAGGCAGTGCAGTGCAGAGGCAGTTCATTGTTTTTGAGATTATTTTAAAGCTTAGAAATGATTGATTCTTTTCTGCTTTGTAAAGGCATTGGTCCAGATGGTCACATTGCTTTCAATGAGCCAGGATCAAGTCTGTCTTCAAGAACAAGGTTAAAAACTTTAGCGATGGACACCATTTTGGCAAATGCTAAGTATTTTGATGGAGATTTATCTAAAGTACCAACTATGGCATTAACAGTCGGTGTGGGTACAGTGATGGATGCTAGAGAAGTAAGAGTTTTAATTCTAACTACTGCTTTTTAAAAATTTTTATTTGCATGTATTTATATTCAGGACACTACTATCAAAATTGTCTTTGAAATTTAAGATAAACTGAGAACTGTTTGCTTTTCAGGTAATGATTCTCATAACAGGTGCACATAAAGCTTTTGCCTTGTATAAGGCAATTGAAGAAGGGGTCAATCATATGTGGACAGTTTCTGCTTTCCAGCAGCACCCTCGCACTATCTTCGTATGTGATGAAGATGCTACTTTAGAACTAAGAGTTAAAACCGTGAAATATTTTAAAGGTGAGCACTAAATCAAAATAGAATAGTTGCCTTTGTTTGAATACTCAGTTTAAAAATGAAGTGGTTAAATCCTGGCCCTTCAGTGTAGCATGTATATTAAAGGAAAAAATGGCTACAGTATTTGAAATATGAAACATTGAGCTTTGTAATTTTGAATGTAATACAGTGTTTAAAAAACTTAACTGTGTTTCTTTCATGCAAAAAGAACAGTACAGAATCTGTGATGTTCAAAGAAAATTTGTCAGGGACATGGTCTCTCTCTCTCCCCCTCTTTTTTTTTTAAAGTTTGTACCCTTAGCCATATGCCCCTTCACTTTACTTTAAAAACACTGGAAGGTGAAATTCAGGTTTTTATTGATAAACTTGATACAAGACAGACTTATCGCAAATGACTTTAAGCTGTTAACATTTTTGCTGTAGTGTTTCTCCATCTTCCTTATTTGTCTTATCTGCTTATTGTGCTTAATAAGCTAAAATGTTGGTCCCCAGAAGCTCAATGTGTGACAAAGAGGTTGGAATGACTTAAGGACAGCTTGCCTAATCAGGCATTTGTATAACCAAATATCCACTGTTTCATAAATTGTCTTATCCAAGATGTACACGGTTTTACATGCTGCATTTTGATTTAATTATTTCACTGAAAGCTGCTTTATTGATATTTTATATATTGATCCTTAACTTACTTCTACTAATTGAATGGCTTTTTAATGTTATGGTGAAAGTTGCTACTTGACAAACTTGTTTCATTGTGATCTGTAGCAGATAAACCTGATGAGGCCAGGGAGACTGAGGCTGGGAAAATAACGTAGTTAGAAACTAAAGTTCTAGGGATTTAGGGAAGGGAGGGTGGGACTTGGTTTTGTTTTAATTGCAATATTATTTTATTTGTCCAGGGTCCGCTTGTTACTGTGAGTTAGGCTGGTGGCTTTCTGTCTTTTTAAAATTGCTTCAGTGTCCAAATCAATCTCTGGACACTACCAAGTTTAAAAGCAAACCAACATTTGGTACTGACGTATAACCACTGGCTTGATATTTTATACATGGGCATCTCATTGCTCTATTCTGTCTTTCTGTTATGGTTTTGCATTTAAAAAAATCTGTCTTTATCTACTGATCTGTCTTAATTGTTGAACTATTCTTATTGTGAACGTTTAATCTAAATTTGCCAGAATTACTTCATGAATTGAATATTTTCCCTCCTTCCACTATGCAAAATGTTATGAAGGTTCTTGAATAATGGATTTGTCACCTAACAGGCTTACTAATATATAACTAGACTTGTGACACTGATATGACCACTGCTTTGAAGAAGCAAAGGGCTATATGGAAAACTTATTTTGTACCCTTTCATAAACTGAATAGGATATTACTACTAGAATTTTTACTATTGACTGATTTGTAAAATAAGGTTGTGTAAAGTTTTAAATGGGGCCACAGTAGAAAGGCAGTAACAGCCCTAGCCATTGTTTTGGAAACTATACGCCAACTGCGAACTCTTTTCACTACCTAAATGACTTCAAAATGGAATATCCATTTTTCACTATCTCAAAACTTGGTTACTGTGTTCTTGAAATAACCAGTAATAAAAGGAATATCTCAGGAGGCATGAACTGGGGAGAATCTTTGGCCTGCAGTGCACATGGTGAACATGAGTAGGGAAATCCCTAAAATCTGTTTGACATTTAAGTCTAGGTACAGGCATTCAAAAAGCCTGAAATTGAATTGATCTAGTTTTCCTGGGTTTGTCTACACATTCAATTTAATGTGCTTTAGGTCATGCATGTTAAAATCCATTACCTCCATTGTAAGGTACTAGAAAAATGTGCATTAGCCTATTTTAATGTGCATTAGCTAAAGCACAGGGGTTTTTTTTTGTGATTTAACATGCATTAAAATAGGCTAATGTACATTTAAAGTCCACATGCATAGCTCAGATCATTAGCAAACAGAACACACGTTTGCCCTTTGGGGAGAGGTGAGAGGGAAAATCTTAGACCAGATTCTGCCACTTAAATCTGTTTGTGCATCAAACTTTTGTTCTGCTAAAGATATAGACCAGTTTCCAATCACTTATACTGGTAGAAGTGTAATGCCTGGCCTATGATGGCAGATATAAACTAGAAAAAACCCAAGGTGCTGGTGCTGCATAAAGTGGCTTTTCACATCGTTGCTTAGTTATCATTAAAACTGCATAGGGAACTGACTAAAGGAATTGCAGTTACTACAGCAACATGTAAGTTAGCCTCAATATGTGCATGTATTATGTTTTATATTTACAGACTCTTTAACATAACAACAGACACGGAATGTGCCATGTTACTGAACCAAGGTCAAGGGCCCTAACTTTAATTTTCTTACTGTTCAATTGAAAACACTAATATGAGTTTCTTATGCATGTGTAACTTTGATGGAAATAGATGAGTTGTATTGTAATAAGGTAATTCTAAACCGGATGAAAAATTAAAAAATAACGCATACAACAAACATTAGCCAGTGCTGTGGTTCGCCTCCTTTGGTTCAAGGTAGAATAGTCTTTAATGGTTGTTAACTTTGATAAAAAGCAGTTGAAATTGTGTTGAGGTCAGAGTCTGGTACTGATGTTGGCAAGCCTGGAAACTTAAGCTGCCATGACAGATGCTAAAAAAAATAAGTTATACTCTGAAACACCCCAAAATTGGGTGACCTTCCACTTCCTCTCCCATTGCTCCTTTGAGAAGTATTAACAAGTTTTGTTTTTGATGTATGACTTGTAACAGCATCTCTAGCTTGTGAATGTCTGTTGAAAAGAGTTTTATGGTATAAAACTGAGACACCAGTGCCCAGCGTGTTGAATCTATATGGGGGTTTTTGATCTTTTCAATAACTTTGGTCTTTTTGTTCTGCAAGCCTCAGTGCATGGGAAGCTTATTAATAGACATCTTCACAAATAGTAATTAGGGCTGCGTGAAGCTTTGGTCCCTGATTCAGTTCGGCGCCTAAATCCAGATAGAATCAGGAAACCCTTTTAATCTCTCCAAATTTAATCAAAACCCTCTGAATCGATTCAGAAAGATTTGGCAATTCGGATATAGACATAGCTTTTAAATGTTTTCTACATACCTCAAGGTACCAGGTGGTTTGTGAATGCTGCGATGGTAAGGTGGGGATGGAGCATCCCTCAGGAGCTCGTGGGGCTCTCCAGCATGCTCAGTAGCAGACCCAAAAGTGGACCAGAAGCACTTCCAGGTTTGCTGCCGAGCACGCCTTCCCCCTCCGTTCCCCCTCCCCCCACCACCTGAGCATTTGCAGCATTCACGAGCCGCACCTCGTATGTTGAAAAAAACATTTAAAGCTGTGTCTATGGCTGAATCGCTGATTTGTATCTAATATGGCCCATTTCGCACACCCGTAATAGTAATCTTTCATGTCACAATCCAGACCACTTTGGAGCATCATCAGACTAGTATATGATGCAATTCCTGGTCATCATAAACCATGGAATAAAGGAATTGTGTAACACATGTATTGCAGTCAGTTTAACTTCTGCCCCAGAAGAGGAACCAGTGCATCTGTGTACTCCAAAATCCAGTTGAAATCGGAGGCTAAAAACTGATTGGCAGTAACAGTCAACTGTTTGGATACAACTGAAACGTTGAATTTCCTAGTGGTGACTTGAGTTGGTTTATTCCAAAAATACATAGTATGGATATATCACTTTGGGGCATTTAGGAACTTTCACTGCCCTTTCTGCTTAATCTCTGTACTTCTAGTAACTGCCTGCATAAAATTGTTTTTTTCTAAAAGTGCTTTTGAGTGGTCATTCTGTTTTCTCTGCTAATTTAGTGGACTGTTAAAAATGTATTTACTTGTAGAAAAATAAACAGAGAATGTGTGCTGACTTTTACATTAGCTGCTTTTTCCCCCCTAAGGTTTAATGCATGTGCACAATAAACTTGTGGATCCATTGTACAGTATGAAAGAGAACTGAAGGAGGAATTGAGGAGGAACTTCACATGGGTGAACACAGCAACTACTTTTAGGTAGCAGATGAATTTACTGCTATGCAATATACTGAAAACTGGCTAAATTGGGGAATATTAGGTACTGTAATTTTTTTTAAGGTCCAATATTTATACAGTCACATTCCGTATCTATATGATGTGTTTGTACATTTTGCTATAACTTTTTGGTATCTTGAGTTTAGCAAATAAGAATGGAAGTTGCTTGTTATAAGAAATGGCAAACAGAGTACTCTGTCTAGCACAGCAGTGTAATGTGTTGGAGTAAATGGAATCTTGGTTCAAGCATTATAATCTTAGTTCCAATAGTGCAAAACTACACTCCTCGTTCTAGTTTTTAGAGGCAAAACAATTTTGGCCTCTCCATTGTCAACTGGTATGGACTTGTAAATTGCACGTTTTTTTACTATGAAATGCTGTTTACATATGTCAAATGCACACTGAGCTTTTGCACTTGGTTGCCTTAAACTTAACTTACTCTAATTGCTCTTGAACATCTCCTAAGTACTACTGCACAAAATTCAGGCAAATAAAAAAAACAAACATGGAAACAGTGCCTAAAAATGCAGCTGCCCCCTTCAAAAACTTTATTTTACAATTTTGTACATGTCAGATTTCTGCCCTCACACTTTTTCTTTGTTACGTTACTAACCATATAAAAATGCTAAATTAATTTGTAATTACAAGCTTTGTAAATGAGGAAAAATGTTAAGTGTTTCTTTTTTTTTAAGACAAGAATTTAGTTGCTTCAGTGATGTGATAATATAACCTCTTTGCAATTATTTAATGTAATAGTCTACAAAAGGTCATTGTATTAAAACAAGTCTATCTGTTACTGAGCCACTTTGCAGTAGAATAGCTATTTTGCATTGTATTGTTATAATTGTTGAACACTCTACATTCTTGCTCTGAGTAAAGCTTACATACACAAACCAAAAATGTCTAAATTTTTATTTTGTTGAACATAAAGGAGGGCTAAAGAGCAGACTAGTTTTCAGTGAGTTGTAGTGAAAGGATACTTTTGTTCTCCTCTAGGTAAGAGGGCAGTTAATCTCATCCCAGGCCAGCTCCTCAAAAACATAGTATAAAAATATCAGTGGGGGCCAGCCTTTTTGCTGGACATACCACGTATTAGCTGCACACTCCTTCCTGAGTGCCATTTCAGTCCCTTTCCCTTACCCAACCTGCTCAGCTTTCTGCTTCCTGCCTTGTGCTCCATAGCTAATCTACATTATCTGCCACGGGGTGGATCTATGCAAGATGGTTACTGCACAATTGACTATTTTAATGGCACAGACTTCTCAGGGTCTACTCGTGTGCCCTTATTAGGGTACATGAAACTAATAAACTCTGCAGCTTGTACATACAAGTACTATCCTGCTGCGGAGTTCTTGTCAGCATCTACATATGTGCTGCTGCATACCAGCTGGCTGAGGCATGAGGGTGCTTCAGTTCCTGAGCTGCTAGCCAGCTAGCCCCATCACCCTCATGCTCCAACTACCTCCTTCACAGCAGTTTGAGCATGGTCAGAGCAGCCCCAGGCTAGCCCCTGGGCCCCCTCAATGTGCTGCAGTCCAGATGCATATGTAAAACATGTGCCAAGGAGCAATAAACTGCAGAGCAATAAGCTGGAAGTTTATTGCTGCCTCCAATGGCATGTGTAGATGCACACATTGTATACCTGTCCCCATGCAAACCTACTGTATGTTACACACAGGCTGCCTGTGGCACCAGTGTCACAGGCTAGCAACCCCCAGTATAAAGTAATTATTTAATGAAAGTACTTTGAGGCTGAACAGACTTTAAAAATAAAGTAAAGTAGTCAGTGTTCTTTTTGTGCTCCTTTTCATGCTTTATAAAACATTTGCTTGTGAAAATTACATTCTTGAAAGCTAAATTGAAAGCATTCCTTAACTACAAGTGTGTCATACACAGGTAGGTTTATTACTGAATAGCCCTTTAGCAGCAGGCTGCCACTAAGTACAAGTAGGGAAACACAGTAAATCTTACCGGTGTCAAAAAAATCAAATGAAACATTACCAGCCTCAAATACAAAGTTAAATTCCTTCTGAAGCTTGAAGCTAAACTTGCAATAAGTGTATTCTAAAACTAGTAATAACACAGAAAAATAAGCAAGCTGTAACAAATAGCTATGCAGCTGGTAAGAGCACTATATAATACTTAATTCATTTCCACATCTTCCTTCCAGGGTGTGTCTACACAAAGTACTTAATGCACCGTAGCCTAATAACACTGTGCAGTAGCATGCCAGGCAAAAACCACGTCAATATGCTACTGTACAGTAAATGTTGCTAAAAAAATCATGTGCCAGCACTACTGAACAATAACTATAGTTACTGTACATTGTGTTAGTACTTCATTAAGCAAGTACTAAATTAGATGCACAGTAACTACTGTGCATTAATAAACATGTAGATGTACCCACAGAGACTTAATGGAACCCTTCTAGAATTTTTTTAGTTGAAATTTTTCAGGAGGGAAATAAAAACTAGCTTCTGCATTTCTTGCAGGAATAGCTATTTTCACAGGGCAAAGATTTATATAGGGCCACTCTGTTCCTTTTTTTGATCCCACATTCAATCTTAGTTGTCCTCTGCATGAACTTGCCTTTGTACCTTGTTCTGAGTAACATCAATTACCAGAAACCTGTCTCAAAAAAGGAAGCATCTGTTTAGTGCTGGATTATGTTATAGAATAAGCCCACTTCATTCACTAAGACAATTGTTTTAATATCTTTGATAAGGTCCAACTCCATCCAACCTCTTGGCAATTCTCATCTTTCTTCTTACATTACCCATGTCTGAAATCTTTTTCTGGTTCAGTGATGATCTGGGAAATGTACAAGTGTTACATTTATATTAACCTAAACAAAGTTAGATGGACTTAAATGCCTAGTCCTGCAGCCATTCACAGGTCTTTAAGTTGTCCCCAAAAGTGTGCTTGATCTAAATTAGTTTACTTCCAGGAAATTATCCTTAAAAGTTAGTTCACTTGCTCTCCAAAGGGTTAACCTGATCTAGCAAATGCCTGTGTTCACAATACTGCCCTAGGGCTGGAAAAGCCCAACCACTTGCCACCCCTAGGCCTGTACTATTCCTGCCCACTAACCCTAACCAGGCTATTTTTAATCTTCCTGGATCAAGCAATCAGCCCACCACCAATTTCTTACTTAAAGGAAGCCACCTAAATTTAAGCTGGGTATAAACATTTGTATATGCATCTCTTCAAAGGTAAGCTTCTCTTCAGAAATACCGATCCTGTCATTTTTTTAATGAGTATGTTTCCTGATCTATACGTAGTATGTTGGAGAACTAACCACTCCAAGAATTAAAAAGATCCGTCTGTGTCCAGAACTGACTCTATCCCTCTATTTAATAGCAGAATGTATAGAAGACCTTAGCTCATGGATCAGCAATCTATTTAGGCAGAATGTGAAAAACACCTGTAATCTTGACTTGTAATATGCTGGAATGCCAGGGGCAGACAGCATGGGAGCTATAAGGGGCCCAATCCCTGTTGTGTGCTAGGGGCTGGGTTTATGCTGCCACATGCCAAGCAAAATGCCTTTGCATGCCACACACTGGTAGGCATGCCAAGAGTTGCCTACCCCTGCCTTGGATGCTTCTCCCTGTTGCCCAGCTGAAGCAGCCCCTAGCATTGGCAGGTACAGGCTGCTGACTCTTGTTTTAGGTTCTTCCTAATACAGATAAGGAATAACCTGGCCCTGGTGTCTTTGCTGAATCTGTAATTGGGCTGGACAGAAGAACAGCTGAGCAATACTAACAGGATTTAAGGAACTTGATTGCATGTTCTCTTCATCTATTATCTGAAACACTAAAATTAGACTCCCCCAACTACTTAACCACATCTTGCTGTAATATATGTACTATTAGCTAAAAATAGCAACTTTAGCAAGTAAGTTGGACAATTATTATTTTGAGGTAACTATTCAATACAAGAAGAATAATTTTCTCAATAAGAAAATTACCTTGCTGTGATGACAGTTAATATACTAGAATTCTGTTTTATACAGCTGTATGATGCACTGCCCTGGTTCTCTCGGGCACAAGAAGTTTCCACAAGGTTAGACACAGCGTATTATTCATGGTGTTAGAATGAGTTATTTACTCAAATATTGGAAAGTATAAAATTTTAATCAAAATTATGTGGAAAAATATTTAGTTTTCAATCATTCAAGTTTAATTTCCTAAGACCATTTACAAGCATTTGTACATATTATCAAGTAGCACCTGGTAATAAAAACTGAACTGTAGTTTACAAAAATATATACACATGATTACAATAGTATCTCTGAATATGCAGGTACAACATTTCATATTACAAATCAAATACACCAGATGGAAGTTACACACCAATTCCCCCAGAAGTATTAAAGTATATTATTAGTCTCCAATTATTTGTTAGATTGTCTCTTTAGGACAGTTATAAAGGCATCTTTTGGCACTTCCACATTGCCAATTTTCCTCATCTTCTTCTTTCCCTCTGCTTGTTTCTTTAAAAGCTTCATTTTTCTTGAAATATCTCCTCCATACTATTAAAGAGGAAAAAATAGTCTAAAAGTTATACTGTGCTATAATGCAAGTTTTAAAACTATATTATGAAGTCTACCAGAGTCTCTCTTTTTTAAGTTAGTTTTATTATGTGTTGCTTATCAAGTCCCAATAGTCACAATAGTCACCTCTTGGAAGGGAGAAGAGAGTCATTTTAGGCAGTTCCATAGGTATGCACTATCAGTTTCCCCATCACACAGGTTGATCACATGCTGAATTTGCTCAATAGCTACAAAGACTAAGGGAAAGCAATCTTTACTTCTCTAACTTATTTCTGGTCTTTTAGATCCTTAAAAGTCTAACAAGTGTTACTTTTTGTATAATTCTAGTCTGTGTAAAGCTAAGCTTTACATCATTCAAACTACATTCTAAATTGATCACTGAAAATCAATGTAAACCTGTCTATAAACTAGTGTCAGCTTGGGGACTTTCTTATATCACTGACTCAGGTGTGTGGGTGTGTCACACCCCCCCACCCCCGCTGAAAAACAGCCAACTTCTCTGAACTGTATTACAAGTATAGTAAAAGCACCAGGATGCAAAAAGACATAATCACCACAATACATTTAGATTTCTCTCTCTCCCTTTCCAGAAAGGCTCACAGTGGGTTACAATATCCAAACAATCCACAAGAAAGAAAAGCAAGCACAACGTCTTTGGCAGACACGGAAAGAGGCTCAAGGAAGTAGGTAGGTAGATCATGTCCCTTTAGTGAAAGGATTTACATTTAAATGCATTAAGAATTCCCCAACTGAAAAATACCTACACATTTTGCCAGGACATCCTTTCTGTAAGCTTTCAACCTGAAAGAGAAAATACCACATACTTTCTGCATGACTGAACATCTTAGGAAGTCTAGGCCCTCCATGTGGTGCCTTATTCTAACCCTTAAGAACACATGAAACAATAGAAACACAATCCTCAGATGGTTGGGCATGATTACTCAAATCAGTATTGCATTTAAACTACTCTAGTCCAAACTAAACTTGAAGGTTGCCTTTTAAACTCTGCCCATATTTTTTGAATTTTGCAGTTATTCAAGAGTGTATGTTACATAACTAAAATGTTATGCTCTCCCTCTTTAAAAGCCACACCTGCAACTTTATCAAAGTAAGTGTAGTTTAAAAATGTATAATACTTTCACTAACCAAAAGCCAGCAATTTTTGTGTAGCCAAAAGAGTGCATTATTGCAATGAAGCAATGTTCACCCTCTGCTAGATGAATGAACATCTCAGCCAAGGTGTCACAGCACCCTGGAATGTCCTGAGATCCTTTCAGGAGTGCCATGGAACAACCCAGAGATTTCAAACAGGAATCCATTGTTAAAAACATCCTGTCCT